ATATATATATATATATGTTAGATGCATTACAATTTGACCAATACATTCTGTAAAGTAGATTAATCATGATTAAACTTGTGTTGTTAATCTATCTGAACAAATAATAATTATTTAATGCATTTAGTTTAGGAGAATACAATATTATTACTATTATTTATAATAAGTAGTTATAATAAAAAGTGAGCAACTATCATTCTTGACACCAACCTCAGCTCTGACCTTTAGGTAGTTATTCCTACAATTAAACCAAACTAAAATGAGGTATATATATTTATGAAGTGTAGTTATTTGAAAATTTTCTTTTCAATAAAATGAATTTTTATTCATTCGATCCTCCTAATGGTCATCCTTTAAGACCTAAAAGTCCTTTTATGCCTCCATTTTACCTTGACGATATTTTTAATTACTAAGTTATTAAGTACTTAATATTTTAATTTATTTTTTTATTTTAAATAATAAGGAATTGCTAATAATCATTCCCTTAAAAAAATATCTTTGTAAATGCTCACGAATTTTACTCTGCCATTGCAGGGTCCCAAGCTCTGTTTGCAAAAAATAGAGGGTCGTGTTAGGTAGTCAACAACTAGCATAAAATTTGTCGCATGCAACTTTTAAATCATTGTGTAAATGTTGTCGCCTGCAAGCGACACTATATGTCTAAACATAGTAATTGTGCATGGGCTGCTTCACTGGCGTTCGAGTGTAATGTTAATTAAACAACGATTTCAATATTTTGGATAGATGCAGACAAATAAGTTAGTTCATGGAACTAATATTAAGATAAAATCATGGATTATAAAAACTCTCATAGGTAAATTAATAAAGTTAATAGATATTATGGTTCATGGAAAATGCTAAGAAGATTTATAGCTTATATTTTAAACTTTGATATTCAGGTAGAAGTCGTACTGGAAATAGTGAAGGTGTAACTAAAGATAAGAGTATAAATGATAATATTGACAAAATTAATAAAATTGGACATAAAATTGTAGCCCTAAAGATTTTTATATGTTCAAAAGAAAAAATTTGGAATAACCTAGAATAACTAATAGAAATGATACCTTCTTAAAAAAAGAATTTTTATTGGAAGAGATTTAGATGAGTATGTTGGTAGAGTGGCTACAATTTTGGAATAATTAATGAAAAAATTAGAGTCATATTAAATTTTAGTTTTGCGTATGATTTAGCTGCAGTTAATTTTTATTTTAAAAAAAATGAATATATTATTACTTTCTTATGAAGAAGGTAGAGCCATTAATTGATTATTTTCTTTTGAGAAACAAAAATTGTCAGGATTGTAAAGATTGTAAAATTATTCATAGTGAAAATTCAAGTGTTTTATTTAAATTTTACTTTGACTTATTATTATTTTTTTCTTAATACTTTATAAAAGAGCTGAACACATTATCAATTATAATAATGGATCTAATAAAACACAAATTAATTATTTTTTTATGAGAATAAGTGATTTTCTATATTGCAGATGATTCTAATTAAAAATTTAAGTTCTCGACATCGATTATTAGTTTTGAATTTTAAGTTGAAAAATTAGAAGATAAAAAATACCATTAAATAGTTGTCATAGAATTAGATGAGGGCATTTAAAAGAAAAATAAAATTATTTTTATGAGTAAACTTGAAGATTTTAAGATTTGGGCTATCATGAAGAAGCCAAAGATATGTTGGATAAAAAACAAGCAATATTGAATAAGTTGTAAAAGATGTATTTGGAGAATCAGGAACAAAAGTAAAAGATGGAATAATAATATGTATGAAAAAATAAAATATAAGAAATTTTGTTATAAAAAATGGTTTAAATGCAAAAAATTAGATAATTGAGAAAAATATAAGTTGGCTCAGAGGAAATTTGAGAAAATAATTTGTGATACTAATCATTCGATTTTTTGTGAGCTGTATAATATATTATATACTAAAGACTGAAATATATGTATGTATTTATACATATATTAGGAAAGCCCAAAGGCTAATATATGAAATAGAAAGTATGATACAAATAGATTATGTGGGAGGGCCCAAACATGACATCTTACTCACACGATAACCACTACATCAAATGGTTCCAAAAAGAGAAAATACAGAAAAATATATGAAAGACCTAAAGAATAAACTAAAAAGTGCTAAAATACGTAGTATCAGGTAGCTAGAGAACGACCCAATTTTGCCTTGCCTCTGCCTCTAGTTCTAGGGAATGAGTCAGCTAATAAATTGGTAAGATGAGTGCAATTGCCAGTAGTAACCAATGGATCATCCAATAAATTCCGGAGCTCGAGTCGGCCTTCATTTTTCTTCTTCCTTCTGGATTGGACATGCCATTCCTCATCCGAAGATTGACTCATTGATCAGTGGATTGATTTAAAGTGTGTCAGACATGTGTAGGTTATTGAACATTAGAAACAACTATTTGTTGTACCGGCTGATCTTTTATCGGATCGAAGGAGCACTCTCGTGTGTCTTGACATATAAGTGAGTTTTTATCAATAACAGTGAGTGCTCTAAGCACATTTAGATATGTACCTGTAGTATGGTGTTCTTCATCTGGGACTGAGGTGTTGGAGAGAGGATCAAGTTGCACCTTCTCAGCAGAGATGCTCAGCAGAGATGGTAGGTGGCTGATCTTTAGCGAAATTCGGCCTTAGATGAGGATGCAAGCAATCGTAAATAGTAGAACTGTGACCAAACATACTTTAATGAGAGCAATAATGAGGGTGTAGTTCTATTTCAACATTTTTCCAATATCCGTTGTGAGTGGTGTCAATCCATACCTCATCCGGAGCTGATTGAGTGATATCTCTCAACTAACATTAACCGCAGAGGGTCTGGTGACAACAAACATAGGACTATTAACTTTTAGAGACTTACCGTAAACAGTTGCTAAAGAGTAGAAAATTTTCAAGTTGAACAGATGT